ATGTACAGATTCCTTTTGTCTCTTGGGGATATGTGAACTACTGCATTGGTTAATTTTTAAGCCCATAAGTAGTCGTTTGCTTTCCTCTTGCACATTCTCCAGTTGACGATTGCAAGGCATGGATTTTTAATGAGGGAATCTTTGTGGGGGTGATATTTCTCTCCAGCTTTTCAAGTTTCACAGTGTTGACTTGTGTGAAAATTTGGTTCTCTAGCCTTGCTTACTAGATCACAGAGGATATCAGCATAAAGTTTTACTCAGGTGAAAGTTAGTGTGGAAATACTTGGATTAGCTGTGTCCCAAAGAGTCTATTTTATCCCTTTCAGCTTCCTCTGTTTTGGGTAGGGCTGACGGGAGTTTCTCCCTGTTGATACTTTCTTTCTGTTGCAAGTTCCTGTCCCTGCTTCTGAAGAGTTTGCAGGAGAAGAGTTACGAATGCAAGCCAAATTGTACCATGTTAGCACATTTAAATCGGTAGTATTGATGCTGCTAACACAAGGTAGTACCAATACAGTCGTCTTCCCTTCAATTTGTTAATTTTGTACACCTTGGGAAAAATCTTAGACAGAGGTGTGCTTAAACTGAAATGTATTTCCTTGGGACTGTTGTTTGTCAGGGAACAAATTCTTGAACTAGAAATAAATCACAGATGGACCGAACAGGGACAAATAATTTTTTTTTCCTTCTTTTTCTTTTCTTTCATTCTTCATTCCAGTGGAGTGTTTTTTTTCTTTCTTTGAATAATCTGTCAGATGACCCATGCCAAGGATTTCCAGTGAAGTCTTTGTGAGAGCATCTGATAAATTTTGGTAGGAAGTCATCGGTCTTGCATTCAGACATTTTGTTTTGCTCACTGAGATTTGCAGTTGCTTCACCAAACAGCAAAAGTGACATCTCCTTGACTGATGCAGCTGTCTTTAATCTGAGCTAAACAATAAAGTTATTTTACATTAATAAATTAATATGACAGAACACACATCCTCCCTACATTTTATGTTTGTGGTTTGGGGCTTTTTTCCCCCTTAAGGAATTTTACATTGTCACGTAACTGGTATTTTCCCCTCTTTCATAAATTTGCTATTATTGCTTCCTTTTTTTTTTTTAAGGAACAATACCCAAACTTGCAGGTATCCAGCTGTGAGAGGAATGGAGAGGGTAGAGGAAGAAGCTTCAGCCTGTTTACCTGCAAGTCTTCCTTCTTTATATATGGGTGAGGCTGTTATACTTCTCTGTGAAAGGAGGTTGAGGCTACTCCCAAATTAAATCACATTTGCAGCTGGACTGATGTGCTGTGCCTCTCAGTGTTGAGTGTTTCAGCTGATGCCCCTTTACATAGTGAACAAAGCCCTATGGACTATGGATTATTCCCTCTGATGTTACCTTCATGCATTTAATTGTTGATTAGAGTAACAGCTGACACACTAAGGATGCTGATGCTTAGCAAAATAGCTGTCGTTTCAGTTAGTTCTTCTGTTAACAACTTAAATGTTGCTCGTTTGGGCTGATGGCCTAAAGTTAATTTTCCAGAGTTAAACATTTGCAAGTAGAACATCTGTGTGTGAATGAGCGATCAGCAGCTTCTTAAGTGTGGGACTGCTTGGGTTTGATAGACACAAGTTGGGCAGATTGCAGAGTGGTGAGGGTGCTTTCATGCTTTCTCCATTACTCATGAATTCCAGAGGGTATCTTAGGACAGCACTCACGTGCTAGGCATGAGTGCTCAGACTAAAAGAGAGTGCTGTTGGGTTAAAGAAGGTTAATCTTAAAAGTGTTTGCAAAGGAATCCAGTGAGTGAACAAATCCAGCGTGTGACTTAAATATATGCTTTGCAGAAATTAAGTGTACTGAATGCTTAAAAGTTGTGATGCCCAAGAAGCACAGAAGGAGGGGAGACCTCCTTGTCTATTAAGAAAATGCAAGTAATGCCTTGAATTGAATTAATCGATTACTTTTATCGGAGAACTGATGAGACAAGTAGCTTTTTGGTTTTGAGAGCTAACTGCTTTGTTGTTTGTAGTCTAAACGTTAAGGAATCTTGGACGTTCTGCTCTCAAATGCATTGCTCTCTTGACTGCCATTAACAGTGTTTAAAAAAAAAAAAAAAGCAAGCTGCAAACCCAAGATTTTCTCTCTGCTTGGCCTACATGTATTTGCTTGCTTATTTATACTGTAAAATGGTAAAACAACAACAAAAGTATGTGACTTCATTATTTACCTGGGTCACTTTTTTGTCCTTTCCATGTGGGTAATCTTGCAGGGCATGACAGTTTGACACGAACTCTTTATTGTTTCACAAAGCGATATATTTCCCATGTCCTGCAAATTTTTGCGTTTTGTGACTTTCCTTATCATAGTTCAGCTGGGGAGAGGGAATTGTTGCACTAACTGGCAAAAGCAACGCGTATTATGTTACACTGGCCGATTCGCCAATTTGTTTGCTTTCCAATTTGCCGCTAAAGGCTGAGTCATTCTTACTGTTATAACAAATACATATTAGATAAGTTATCGCAGCAAAACTGTTTCTTGTCTCTTGCAGTTGATGATAGCAGAAGTTTCAGACTCTAAAGTCAAAACCAAGGGCTTTTTTAAAACATTGACAGTATTTTAGACTCAAATGACTGTATGAAACACTTCTGACATTGAATGTGGCTGCTTTTTATGTGAAGCTGATGACAACTGGTGTTTCCCCAGGCTTCCCAAAAAGTGCTGCTGGTCCTCTTTTTCTTCAGTGATGTTGATGTTAAAGATTCCTTTCTTGATTTCCCTTCAGCAAAGAGAACAAGTACCCATTTTCAGTACCTTATAAAAGAAACTATAGCAGTAGGATGCAAATTTATGCTTCTCTAACTGCAAAGTTGTCTTTTTGAGGAACAGAGAGCAGCAACCAAGTGTGCCCTTGAAAAAAACCCCTGTATTGGCCAGAGAGACCTGGGAACTGTCCCAAACTTTTAACACTTTTTTTTTTTTTTTTTTAGCTCAGTGACGGATATTTAGGTCACTTACGTGCCTGAAGACCTTTTCATATCTGAGTCTAACTCCTCATGCTTTCAGCAAGAATTGATGTTGCTTTAGCTACTCAGTCTCAATGTTTTCTTCATTCTGAATGAGTAGATGTTTCGCGCAGATGTTGAGCAACAATTAATGTTGGGGTTTAATTTACATGATACTTCTCAGCAAAACCCCTTAAATTAAAACTTTTCTGTTATTAGAAATAATGTTACAGGATTGGACCTGGATCTGCTTTCAGCACTGTTCATGCTCAATGGGAGCTTCATAGGGCTTATGTGGTATGCGGGACCTCTTTCAAGAGGGTTGACTTTCAGTGGAAACCAAATATTTTCCTCTTCCAGCCCAGCTTTGCTTTTGTTTTGTTCCTTTTTTCTCTGTAAGAAAGGAAATTACAGAACTCTTATTACATTTTTTGGTATCTTTAACTCACTGTTTTGATTTTTGTGGGTTTATCTTCCTGCAGCAAAACTGATAAGTAATGACTTTGCCAAATATTAGGTCACATTACTTGGTACATGTAGTATGTTTATATAACATGAGACCTGTAAAGATAGATAAAGCATATACTACGCTATGATTACAGTAAAGGGATTGAGAAGCTGAAGTGCATATCCTCAAAATTACATGTATATTTGAATTTTGTAGTATTGAATACTTTTCATGCAGTGTAGTTACTTCCATCTCATGTGAATGAAGTTTGGCGTAATATTTAGGGTTTTTTATAACCACAGTGCTACTATATGCCAAATACTATTTTCTGATTTATGCCTAGAAGGAGCTACCAAAAAAATTTGCTTCTTCCTTTAGTGGAGTATATATGGAAATAAAGATTTTTAAATGGTTGCTACTATAGCGAAATCCATTCTGCTTACATGTGATATACAAGAATTTTACTGGTTGAACTTCAAGTACTTCAAACTATTTCTCGGCTTGCTCAAAGCACAGTTTCTTGAATAGCTGTAGAAAGCTTTATTTGTTAGCTTAAAAAAGGGCAGAAGAATTCAAAATTACCGTTATAAAGCAAAAACAGTTGATTTGAAATACTTTAATCTGATGAGTTAAATTTTCACAGTAACACTTTACTGGGAAAACTATTTTTGATATTTTACGTGAGAGGTGAAAGTTTGCAATCCAGAGGTCTGCCTTCAGTCGGCAGGTAGGATGAGAGGAAATGATAGGATTAGAGGAAATGGCCTCAAGTTGTGCCAGGGGAGGTTTAGGTTGGATATTAGGAAAAATTTCTTCACCGAGGGAGTGGTCAAGCATTGAAACAGGCTGCCCAGGGAGGTGGTGGAGTCATCATCACTGGAAGTATTCAAAAAAACGTGTGGATGTGGCGCTTCAGGACATGGTTTAGGGGGCATGGTGGTGTTGGGTTAACAGTTGGACCTGATGATCTTGAAGGTCCTTTCCAACCTTAATGATTCTGTGATTCAAAGTCTAACTTAACAAGCCTAAATCTAGAGAGGAATTACTGCGTTTAAAAAAAATTAAAAACTTTTAGACAGCAGATATTCGTTCAGGTTAGTAGTGTATTGGATTGTTGGTAGAAACTCACTTTTTGGCTTTTCTTTTAAATTCATGTTACGACTTTTTGCAGATAGAATATTGTCACTCCAGACATCTGAGTACTCTGGTGACAGTGGATGACTTGGCCTGGAAAACTTTATTCTGATCTCTTTCAAAAATCTGAAATGATTACTGTTTCCAGCACATGTGTAAAGATATGCCGTACGGGGATGTGCTGTACAACAAACGGGCCATGTGAACTGATAGCTAATCAAGCTAATCATCCGTTAGCAAGATGGCCAGTTTGTTTCACGCTCACATCCGCATGTCTGAAGACTCAGAAACCAAACCATCATCTAGGGCTCTTTCAAGTCATCTGAGCTAAGTGCAGCATGGGAAGTTAAATATACTACTGTACTGGGAATCGTTTGATGTCAGAAGGTTATTGCTGATTACTGTTCAGTGCCTGTTTTCAATTTCTCACTTCTTGACTAGAAAGGATGTTTTTGTTGTACATGTAGGCTTGTTTCAACAAAGGTTCAAAGACCTCCTATGTACAGGACAAAACACAAGCCCAAGAATGCACTTAGAGTGATTGAGTAAGATGGGCTAATGGTCTTGTCTAAAAAGTCTCCTAAAAATAAAGTTTGACACTATTTTTTTGAGGAGGAATTCTTTGCATTGGAAACACGGCGGCAGAGGGGAAGAATAAGATAGTTGTCTGTGAACTTGAGTCTGGAAAACAAGAGTTCTTATCACAAGGAGAAGCACATGCTACTTAGTTATGTGCAAGCCATTTTTCCCCCCTTGTATTTGATTCAAGGGAGGGAAGTCTGAAGGATTAGTCACAACATGGGAGCAGACCCACCTTCCATACCTTAATTAACAGTGTTCCTCTCAATGTGTTTCATGCCTTTTTTGCAGACATCTGTTTGTGTTCAAAACTAGTTTTTAACTAGAAAGAAAGCACAGATAAAAAAATTATTTTCCCATTATTTCTAACTTAATTAGTCTGTTGCTTATGTATGAATTACTTCAGAACTAATACAGATAAATTGTAGACTTTTTCCCCCACAACAGAATTAATTATCGTGTTTGGTTCTTTGTCTCTAGGCTATGGTGGCTTGTTATCCAGGCAATGGAACGGGATACGTGCGCCATGTTGATAATCCAAATGGAGACGGAAGATGTGTTACGTGTATATATTATCTTAATAAGGACTGGGATGCCAAGGTATGCCATAATTTTTTTCTATAATTTGTTTTTTACATATACTTGCTAATGCTACAGGTCTTTGTTCATGTCCTTATTTATGTGCCTTAGTTGTGTTCTTACATTATGTTAACTGTGGATATCCTTTGCCTCCCTGATTCTCCTGTTAGTGAGAGCAGATAGAGACAAGACATTTATTTTCAAGGTTTTGAATGATGCCAGCAGGAACTCCTTGACAGTGAGATTGAAGGAAAGTTGCATGTTTTTTGTGTATGTTTCTTAATTATACATACAAGTATCTGCTACTATCCAAGTTTCATAAATATCTAATTATGCAACTTGTACATTATTTGTATAGTAAACACCCCTCTCTCAAAGAGTAAGTAAAGAATATTTGAAAGATTTGCTTTTAGTTTATTTCGATATTCCTGTTGAATCTTGAGTTTACTGTTTGTGCAACTAGATTACTTAATTGAGTATGCTTATAAAAAGAAAGGTGCTGTAGCTTGGGAGCAGTTTCAGATAAGCCAAGTGTTACGGTTATTGCTGTATCAGTATACTTCAAAGCAGCACAAGTCTTTGTATGATTGTACATGCAGGGTGTAGAATAGATAAGGATTTATAATACAGTTCAAGTGGTGTAAGAATTTACTACCAGTGACTCAAAACTCTCTATGATGTAGTCACTATGATAAAGTAACTTTTTTAATAAGGATTTTCCTAGTGATTCAGTGGGATTAGGTAAATTTGAAGAATGGACATAGCTAACTGGCTGTATTGAAAGCATGAGAGAGTAATGCAAAGATAGCTTTGTTTATTCCTTGATTGCTGTGAAGTTAGCTATGGAGAAGTTTATTCTAATTGTATATGAAAAAAAAGATAAAACTACTGATACTTGTATCGTACTTAGGAAGTAGCATGTGGAAGAGCACGTAAGCAGTCAGTTTCTGTGAACTGGGTGCAGCAGATATGGATAACACAGGCTGCAGCTGAGTTTTTCTTTTTTTCCCCTTTTTTTTTGTTCTTGAGCACTGTCCATCTCTTCTAAGAGCTGGATGAGACAATAAGACTGATAACAGACTCACATAACAATGGTGGATCGAAAAGCTGAGTCAGAAATGAATACACCTGAAGCTTTCTGTTTCTGACTTGCTCTTTGAAATGTCAAATTTGATTCTTCAATTAGAAAATAAATTAGTAGCCTTTTTTGCCACAAGAGCATCTTTGCATACAAGTGCTCTGATTGGACTGAACATCGTAAAATGCAGCTTTGGGGCATTTTTAGTTGATTTATGGTTTCTCTTCTGGGAAAAAAATGAATACGTACCAGAGTGTAGAAGTTAAGCAAATTGCATTTTCACAGTACCTGTGGAAAATTTACTAGCTGGGTATTTGTTTTATGAACAAAGGTATTTCATTTCCTGCAAAATCTATTTTAAATTGCAAATCAATATATTACCAAGTATATTGGTTAGTAAAGAAAGAAGCTCAAGCTTTCTTTACGAGAACAACTTGATCTAATTGATCTAAATTGTCACTTCTTGTTCACTGATTTAGATCACAATTAAAAAACAGTCATTTATCAATTTACCTTGTTAATACTTGCACTGTTATGACTTTCCCATGAAGGCCTACAGTGCCTATCTGTAGTTAGACTTAACAACATCAATACCATCAGTAGGAAGAAGTTAACGTAACTTAAAAATAAATAACTCCACCTAGTGACTTAAAATAATTAACTTGTGCTGTTTTCTAAGCATGCATAGGTAGAATTGTAGAATCATAGAATCTTTGGGTTGGAAGGGACATTTAAAGGTCATCTAGTCCAACCCCCTTGCAATGAGCAGGGACAGCTTCAACTATATCATGTTGCTCAGAGCCCCGTCCAACCTGACCTGGAATGTTTCCAGGGATGGGGCATCTACCACCTCTCTGGGCGACCTGTGCCAGTGGCTCACCACCCCCATTGTGAAAAATTTCTTCCTCATACGTAGTCTAAATCTACCCTCTTTTAGTTTAAAACCATTAGCCCTTATCCTAATAGCAGCAGGCCCTGCTAAATATCTGCCCCCATCTTTCTGATAAGCCTTCTTTAAGTACTGGAAAGCTGTAATAAGGTCTTCCTGGATCGTTTTCTTCTCCAGACTGAACAGCCCAAATTCCTTCAACATTTCTTCATAGGAGAGGTGTTCCACCCCTCTGATCATTTTTGTGGCCCTCCTGTGGATCTCCTCCAACAGCTCCATGTCTTTCCTGTGCTGAGGGCTCCAGAGCTGGATGCAGGACTCCAGGTGGGGTCTCACCAGAGTGGAGTAGAGAGGGAGAATCACCTCCCTTGACCTGCTGGCTGCGCTTCTTTGGATGCAGGCCAGGATATGGTTGGCCGCCTTGTGAGTGCACGTTGGCGGCTCATGACCAGCTTTTCATCCACCAGTATGCCCAAGTCCTTCTCAGCAGGGCTGCTCTCGATCCCTTCATCCCCCAGCCTGTATTGATACCAGGGGTTGCCCCAACCCATGTGCAGGACCCTGCACTTGACGTCATTGAACATCATGAGACTCACATGAACCCATTCCTTGAGCTTGTCCAGGTCCCTCTGGATGGCATCCTGTCCCTCAGGCATGTCAAGTGCACCACTCAACTTGGTGTCATCTGCAAACTTGCTGAGGGTGCACTCTATTCCACTGTCTATGTCGTTGATGAAGATATTAAACAGTACTGGTCCCAGTATGGACCTCTGAGGGACACCGCTCGTCACCAGTCTCTATCTGGACATTGAGACATTAACTACTACCCTCTGGATGCGACTATCCAACCAGTTCCTCATCCACCCAACAGTCCACTCATCAAACCCATATCTCTCATATTTAGAGAGAAGCATGTTGTGCGGGTCCGTGTCAAAGGCCTTGCAGAAGCCCAGATAGATAACATCTGTAGCTCTTCCCTTGTCCACTGATGTTGTCACTCCGTCTTAGAAGGCCACTAGGTTGGTCAGGCAGGACTTGCCCATGGTGAAGCCATGTTGGCTGTCTCGAATCACCTCTGTGTGCCTTAGCGTAGCTTCTGGGAGGATCTGTTCCATGATCTTCCCAGGCACAGAGGTGAGGCTGACGGGTCGATAGCTCCCAAGGTCCTCCTTTCTACCCTTTTAAAAATGGGTGCAATCTTTCCCTTTTTCCAGTCTCCAGGGACTTCACCTGACTGTCATGACTTTCCAAGTATCATGGAGAGTGGCTTGGAAACTACCTCAGCCAATTCCCTCAGGACTCTGGGATGCACCTTGTCAGGTCCCATAGACTTGTATATGTTCAGATTCCTCAAGTGGTCACGAACCTGATCTTTTCTTACAGTGGGAGGGACTTTGCTCCTCCAGTCCCTGTCTTGCAGTCCATTCACTCAAGGAGTGTGGGAAGAGAGACTGCCAGTGAAGACTGAGGCAAAGAAGTTGCTGAGTACCTCAGCCTTCTCCTTCTCTGTTGTTAACCTGTTTGCCAGTCCAACAGTAGGTCCAACTGTTTTTCAAAGCCTGGAAGAGAACTAATTGACCAGGAGCGATACAGATTCAAGCTTTAATTTGGAGTTTCCTTATCTTTCCTCATCTTAATTACAGAAACATGATGTAAACTTGTGCTGCTATTAAATGAAACAACCTCTTTAACGGAAAAGGGTGAAACTGGGATGTGAAATACAATGTTTCTCTCATCTGTATTGGCATATTTTTAGCCACCTGTGTACTATCAGTCAGTCTTATCCTTTTTTTGTGAGTAGGTAACACAGCTAAAAAACAACCAATCTAAACCCACAGCTTTTTACTTAAACATAAATGGAGGTTTAATATTTGCAAGCATTCTGAAATTACTCAGTGAAAAATGTGTAAAATGTTTTGTTAAATGTATCAACAGAAAAGCCGTAGATTCATAATTTCTGTAGCATCTGATAAAGGCTTTTATTTCAGTTCCAAGTGTCTGAAATGTTTTCAAATGTGCTATCCAATACTTTTAAATACGAGACATTGTTTTCAAGCACTGGTTTTAAATATTTAATCTGTAGGTAAGTGGAGGCATCCTTCGGATATTTCCAGAAGGTAAAGCCCAATTCGCTGATATTGAACCCAAATTCGATAGACTGCTATTCTTCTGGTCTGATCGCCGCAACCCTCATGAAGTACAGCCAGCATTTGCTACAAGGTAGGACTAATGGACTCTCTATATATTGCATGATGCCTCTTTTATCAAGAAATGAGTGAATCCTACTGAGAAATGATTGACACTATGAACTATGACCTGATCCCAGGTCTTCCCATGTACAGTTCCAGTTGCACTATGATGAGAAGGGTTTTTTTTTTCCTACTGATTGATTAGGCTTCTGCTGTGCTGCTGAGTTTGTACTGATGTCTGATCTCTTATTTTGGAGAAAACATCCTCTTGGATGGGTAGGAGGGAGGACTGGGAACATCAGAAGTTTCTGAGCATGTACTTGGCAGAACTGGGTAGGAGCACACAGAGCCGTAAGCAGATCCCACCTTAACCAAGGGGTGTTGCCTTTATTATTTCTCTGTAAGGGCTTTACACTCTCCTCCCTTCCTTTCGTCCTTAGCACCTTACTGTGTTACTGGAAGATTGACTAGGTACTTCAGTTTTATGTCACCTGTTGTTGGGGGGAAGTTGTTAGAAAATAGTTATTTTCAAACTAAGCCACCACATTCTAGTTTGGGAACTGGGAGAGGGCTGTGGGGCAGAAACGACCACTGATACACACATTCATTCTTTCTCTGGAGTATCAGAGGAGTTGCTCCCAGTCTGAATCACAGGGGGAACTTCATATCTCCTTTGTCCCTCAGTGTAGGACAATGGATGATGCTAAAGGTACCTGCATTCACTGCCCCCACATCTTGAGTGGCCTTTCCAGATAGCATTAATAGGTAAATCATTGGAGTCGTTGATCCGAACTTCCTGTTGCCCATGTTGCAACCTGTTTTGATGGCCAGACCACTGAACACTGACTGGAGCTGTGAGATAACACAAGTACCTTTGCAAGAAGTAACTTGAAACTGCCATCAGCGTGTCCTCTTGCAGCCTTTCTGGAGGCTGTACTGCTCTCCCCTCCCACTTTGTGCTCCGAGGAGAGTCGGAGGGTGAAATGCCATTTACTAAAGCTCCTTAAAGTCTTTTCTTAATAGCTGGCATTTCATATTTAAATCCTTTACTGGCAGTGGAAAACCAGAGCAGCTGTGTAAGAAGGGGTAGTTAATTTTCCCTTATGGCGAATGTCCAAAAAAGAGGTTCTTGCAGTGATTCAGTGATGGACTTGACCGAGTAAAGTAAAAGATGAGGTCACAGGGCAAGGTAATACAGACTGAGACTGTATTACAGATTCTGGGCAAGAACTGTAATAGCAACCCATCAAGAAAAAGAAGTCTAAGCTTACAACATCAGTGTCATCCTTTCAATGACTGTTCAGACAATACCTACTAATAGGAAAAAAAAACTGCTTGTTTTGTGCTTTATGAAATCTTCTGTCAGACTGCAGAAGTATCATCTCATTTAGGTTGTGTTTTATGTCAAGTGCTTCACTTTTTTTTTCATCATAGTTCAGGAGTTCTTTTTCCATCCGTTTCCCTAGGTACGCAATAACAGTGTGGTATTTTGATGCAGATGAAAGAGCACGAGCTAAAGTAAAATATCTAACAGGTAATCTCTTATTAATATCTTCTGTGTTCTTTTTTTCTGGAAGAATAGCTAAGTGGTCCATCTTCATCTCCTTGGCCCACCCTGTAGACAGAAAGGGGGAGAAGGACAGCGTAAGTCAGAGTCAGGTTTTACAGGGAAGGTGACCCAGTGGTTTTGCCGCTAGGCAGTGACTTGGGAAATCCAGGTCAGTGCCTTGTCCTGCTCACACTCTGAGACCTGAGGCTGCTCAGTATTTTTACGCAGGGGATACAGCTTTTCCCTAGTCTTGTCTGTGATAGGTGTGGAGGTTAAATACACACCAGAGGCTATGAGGCACTGCAGAACTGACAGCCCTGGGAATAGTTTTGATTGAATGTAGTGATTCAACAAGTGAATATAACTTAACTTGACTAGTGTCTCTATATAGGAAAAACAAAAGCCTAAAATTAAAATCTGGAATCAAAGAAAGGAGTTACTTCCTCCATTTCCAATTTCACATATCTAGCATCTGTTTTCCTTTTCTGGCTTCTCCCTGGAGAGGAAGTTGATCTAATTTTCCTGTTCAAATTAGCATTATAAGGAGAAATGGCCTAGGACTTCTGTCATATTTGTAATTGCCATCACAATTTTGTGTTTGTTACAGTAGTTTAAAAATAAAGCAAAATCAGGTGTACTTGCAAGTGCACAGATGCGCTGGGCCAGTTTCTCCGCGGTTTCGTCAAGAGCTCTGAAACCGGTGGTGTTGAAGACCTGTGCCAGTCATTCCCAAATGAGATTTCCATTCATTGCTGTTAGGCATCTGAAGCTTGTAAGTAGCCCCAGAGCTATCTAGCGGCTGCGAAAGCTGCAGTTTAGCTCAGTCCCCCTTGGTGCAGCCAGGGACTTTGTGCGTTTTGGGAGCAGTGAGAGCAATGCAGCCCCTGCCTGGCTCGCAAAGAAACGCAGGGAGTCCCCCGGCTCCGGCTGGGAGGGCTGTCGCGCTGCTCGGTGGTGCGCGCCCGGCCGGGCACGCTGGCTTCCCAGGCGGGCGGGAATGCTGGATAACGCCCGCCTGGTCTCCGCAGGAAGCTTGTCTGTCTGTCTGTAAGCTGGGCTTTGTGTCAAGCGTGTGTGACTGCGCAGCTCCCGGAGCCAGGAGCTGGATCCTCCTTGCTGGATCAGAGCTGTTTCGGTTGTCTCCGCGCAGCTTCAGCGGCCGCCCTTCCGGAGAGAGCGGAGGGAAGTGGTTCGGGTGGGCGTGTGTCTGCAGGGGAGGTGCTCCCCCCTGGCCCCCCTCCCTCTCCAGGGTCCCCCTAAACTGCAGGCACTTGAGGAAGGAAGGCTGGGTTGGAGGGGTCATTTAGATTTCAGTATCTTAGTATCAGTATATCAGTAATTGATTTATATTATCATATTGTTGTGGTTTCAGTTTTCATTTGCAATTAAGATTGCATTCCTTGCTCTGTATCTGCAGGAAGAATTGTGCTAGATGCCTTTCATTTTCTACTGACAATGAGAAAAAAAAACTATTCATTTTTGGCTTAGTGTCAGTCTAACCAAAGCTGTGCAGAATATGTGCGAATTTTTCTTGAACATGGGATACTATGTCTGTTAATGTTTTGATAGCCAAACTTGTATTTGGGGGTACCTGATGTTACCTAGGTCAATTTTTAGAAAAAAGGACAGAAGAGGTATGGGTTGGTTGGTGGTTTTGTTTGTTTATTTTTTAGCAGCAAGTTAAATGGAATGTTGCATTTTAAAAATCCCTCAGAGTTTCTTTACAAAAATAGAAATCCTAGAAACTCTGGGTATTCTGTTACAGATTTCCTCAGATTTCCAACTGGCTGTTCCTAAAGCTTACCTTTATAAAGGCTGAGATGATGAGCTTCGGAACTGCACATATGATGTGCAGTATCCAGTTTTCTACTTGGGCAGCCAAATACATGCCTGCTTTCAGAGAGGATGAGTAACCACGGCTCGTTAACTTTACAGAGCATGTATGCAAAAATATCTGTCTTGCTAGATAACGTGTATTAGACCAACTTCGAATTACTCTCTTAAAAGTAATCTGGAAAGTGATGTAGCGATTCTATAGACTGTACTTTGATAAACGCTGAAAAATAATACAGATTTCCTTTTCATATTTCTGCAGGTGAAAAAGGTGTGAGGGTTGAACTTAATAAACCTTCTGACTCAGTTGGGAAAGACGTTTTATAAGCCTTTGATTTAGCAACTCCCCTTGCTATTCTCCCTGATAAATCTTGATGCTATCTATTAACTTTTGAATGTGAATAACAAGATAAAGGAAAATCGACAACAAACCAACGTTTTAATAAAGAAGCGAACAGTGTTTCAATGTTGCATCAAATAGAAGGTTCTTTGACTGCTGAAGCATTGTACTATGTGATTGTGACTCCAGGCCTGTGACTGCTTATGTGAAGAAGATAAGCAATCAGTAAGAAACAGCATATGCATCTGGACATAAATAAGTGCCCTACATAGAATTTGTCCATCCTTATATTTTGCCAGACCTGTCATCCAGCTGAATCCAATTCATCTCTCCCTTTTTTTATATGGTAAAAGTTTGAATTTTGGGTAATTTTTGTATGACCAGGTACAGTTTATCAAAATTGAGTCTTAAAAAAAAAAAAAAGAAAAACTGAAAAAAAAAAAAGAAAAAAAGAAAAAAAATCACAGTATTCTCCAAAATACCATGGATCTATTTTTGTAAAACTCTTCATACTGTTCTCCTCTGCCATGAAAGACCTAATTTAATGTAAGGGTTGCCAGTAACTGATAATCACTTTAATTTTCTTTACACCTTACGTCAGAAAAGGAGCACTTTAATTACCAGCTAAAAACCTGATTGTTTTATATCATATCTCACACTAATCTTAACTTTTAAAGATTGCTGCTGTATTGTTTTTTTTGACTATGTCCTCTTGAAACTTATTAACAGAAGCAAATCAGTATCTTGCTATTAGTAACATTCAGTTTGTGGTTTTGTATGTTGAATCCACAGAGGGGAAGTTTCTGTCTCTGTTTTTTTTTGGTTTTTTTTGGTGTTTGTTTGGTTGTTTGGTTTTTTTTGTTTTGTTTTGGTTTTTTTTAAAGTGACTGGCACTAAGTGAACTTGACACTATCGGTTGCTGTCATTGGCTTTGGGGACCTGGTAAATACCATCAAGTTACAAGAATATACAAGGGCTTTCCTAGGCTATTAGAGGTACCCAGAACCTCCTTATGTACTTGACAGAAAATTTTGAGCTTTCTCCCTTTTCTAAAGAATACTTGCCACCACCCTTTCCTTTGTATATAAGTTAATAGAATACCTAAAATTAACTTTTTTTAATTTCCTTTTCAAATGTTGGTGTCCCGTGCAGTCTGTAAGTTGACACCTTGATCTATTATATAGTATCAAGGAGATAGTCTGCACACTGAAGCTGAAGTGCATCACTGTAGGCTCCTTGTGCAATACATCTTTAGGTTTTCACTGTGCTGAAGGATTTCCCCCAAAAGGCACTGCCCTTTGACCAAGAGTGAGGTATATATTTAGTAAGAAAACATTTACTTTGTTTTACATTGTTTTCATTTTATCAAGGAGAGGGGACATCAGAGAATAAAAGTGAGATGTGCAGAAACTTTGATATTCTTATTTTTAAGAAATGGATGTTTTGGACACTGATTTCTTTTTCTTCTTTTTTTTTTTTCCTGAGCTTTAAAAGCTTGAGAAAACAAAAGCAAACCTATAAAAGACAGCATTCATATTTACAGGAGTTTGGGGGTTGATTGACTTACCCACTGCAGTTTTCTATCTGTCCCTTATTTCCTTACTTAGCCAAAACAATGTGAGTGTACAGAAATATTTCTGTATATATTACAACTTGTGACAATTTTAGCATCTGTATAGTTTGTATTCAATTAGAGACCTTTTCTATGGAAAGCTCAGTAATTTTTTATTAAAAAGATTACTATTGTTCATGTAAAACATGAAAAAGCTAATTGTTTAGTAACAAACTGACAGAAGGGGGAAAAAATTCAGTATTGGTATATCACTTAGGAGAACCAACAGAAATCCCAGGTTTGTTTTGATTTTGCTCTTCCTTTTTTTAATAAGTTCTTGCCCTTTACAGTTATCTTCCTCTTCCCTCTTTTCTTCCCAGAAAAACAGACAGGATACCTTTACTGCAAGTGCCTCTGCCAACCTGGCCAAGGAGTGCAAATCTCCATTACTGTCTGGTCTGCAGTGCATTTAGGCTAGCAATGAAACAAGCAAAAAAGCCACCTCTTCTACTTCATCTTCTTTAGTGCTACTTTAACGGAGGTTTGGTTGGTTTTGTTTTAGAAATGTAAGCATAAGCCTTTAAACTCATTTCAGTCCCTCTGTAATTCAAATTTCTGCAGTTACACGGCGTATCAAATTCTAATCACACTGTAGGTTTGTGCTTGCCAGACAGGTTTAAAAAGTGCTTAATTTTTCACTCCATGTGAGTCATTACAATAGGGTCAACAAATCAGGTCAGCCATTTCTTCCATGTTCTTTAGAAACTGTTCATTTCATGTCGGTTGAATATTCAGTCTTGAGCATCACCAAGCAGGTCCTTGTTTTAAAACTATTTTTTAAACTGTCTTATGATCTGTATGTGTCTAGTCCTGGTTAAAGATAAAGCTTCATAATGCTATTTTTATTCATGATGTTAGCTGGCTGTGAAATACGAGACCTTTATCTATAGCAGGCAAAGAAATTCAGGATTCATTTACAGGTTGCCTATAAAGTTGTGTAATTTGAAAAGCAGTGTTCATTATGAAAGAGCTCTCAAGTTGCTTGTAAAGCTAATCTAATTAAAAAAGATGATGTATAAAGGTTCTTGAAAACTGTGGTTATTTGTAATCTTTGTAACTTTCAAAACTACTCTGTAGCAAGTAAGGATTTTTGGTGGTTTTGTAGGGGATATTTTGTTTGGTTTGGTGGGGTTTTTTTTTGTGTGTGTTTTGATTTTTCTTTTTTAATCAGAGCTCTGGAGAAGGGTCTGTTTGGGTGTTTTTAGGCTGCCTACAGTTACCTAGGTGTGGTGATTATTTTCCTGATGATTTTCTCCCTCAAAAACAGCACAAAGTTTAGGCTGGCTGGAGAGTGACAGTGAACATAGAGGCAGCTCTAGTTATTTCACCTCTTTTTGACAGGTACGTGAGGTGCAAAATGAAAGTCCTCTTCAAACAGGATTTGTAAGGTTTAATGGGAGCTCTTTAGTTTTACGTGGCTCCCGATGAACTATGGGCGCTTTGAAGATGTCAGAAGAATGGTACGAGTCTACAGATGCCAACCCATACGAGATGCCACACAATTTCCCTAAGCTTTTTGGTGAGCTTCGTAATGACTGTATGGTAATCAAGGAAACATCTGGCTGGCCGTGCTTCTGCCATAGCTCTAACTTTTGTGAAGCCACCCTGCTTCTGCTTGTCTGTCTCGTGCTGGTTCGGGAAGAGTTACCTGTATCTCCGGGTGAGTCTGCCAGCCTTAGTGCACCTTTCGTGGCACTTGGGTACCTCTTGTGCTCAGTTCTGCCCTAAGGTGATGGTTCTTGCCAGTGCATTAGGCTGAAACCTAAGTGCAGCAGCACTGACCGGATCCCAAAGTGCTTTGAGGCTTTTTCCATGCTGCAGTGCTGTATAATTTCTTACACGTTCTCTTGAAATAGCATCTTCCCTGTCTTTGTTTTACATTGAACAAGGAAGAAGCCTTTCTAGCACTTGGAACCATCCTGTATAGACCTGATTTTTTTTTTTTTTTTTTAATTATCACATTGTTGAGCACTATATGCACGGGGATCATTTTGCATAGTAACGTCAAACACTGCACTGGGGAAAGATGAAGTATCTCTTGGGTGTTTCTCAAAAGAAAGACACTTGCAAATCTAAGCAGGAGCTAGCTGACAGCCTGGATCTTATGTAAAACATCTGGCTGTGCTGACCACTTTAAGGTCAGGAGTGGAAAGATCACATCTCTGAGTCATACTGGTAAGTATAATCAGACTGGAAAGTACCATTTTTGTGCTTTCTGAAAGCTTTGAAGAAGATGGGAGAGTGCTAAGCGACAATAGCAAACTCAAAGTCTCAAAGCCCCGGAAGTCTAGCCTGCGTACCTTGCCTGCAGGCATGCAGATATGCAGATAGCAGCGTGCACTTGCAAATACATGGTGGGAATTTAGGAGTACTGAGCAGTAAAGACTTTGAAGAAATTCACTTAACTGGATTTGGATCTCATCTGCTTTATTCTTTTTGTGGGGGTGGGTATGAATCTGCAGAAACTTGGGTCTCCCATCGTCGGCTTTCATACAAAATACTCGCTTGGCTTTTTTGGTGGATGTAAAGTAAAGCTTGAATGTAAGTAATTACTGCATATGCACTGGAGTCCCTTTGTGCTATTACACTGCTGCAGGAGCTGTGTTCACTCTGCAGCGTCTGCCGAATCCGAGTTGCCTGATGCTGTCTAGTGGGGGTGGATAGCAACTGACAGAAGCAGGTTCAATGTCCTCTGTCCTACCAGACAAAACCAGTTCCAGAGAATTTGCTCTCTTGACTTTTGCTACCATTGACGCAGCCATCAAGTTTTTCCCCATAGCTTTGAAGATCAGTGAAAATACAGCACATTTTTCCCTTCCCTGAAATAAGAAAAAAACCCCAACCCCATAGCTCCCAACTGGGCAAACCAGGTACTAAGAGTTGGCTCTAAAAGTGGAAAGGGCAGATGAGATGCAAACCACCAACCCATTGGAGATAGACTCAAGTCCATAGCAGGACAGGGAGGAAGGAATGTGTTGAATAGAAATGGTAAAGTAGGATGGGAAGAGACTGATGCATGAGATCAAGATAAAATACGTGTGTGGGGTGGGTATGAGGTATATGGGACACGCCAAGTAAAACTGTGCTATAGGTGTCTGCTTTGGGGAGGAACACGGAGTGAGGAGAACCCGTACACTATGTGTTTGCCTCAGGAAAAACAGTTGTTGATGCATCCCATCCATCCTTTCTCTTCACGGATGTGTGTTGTAAAATAGCGTATTTTTATCTCTGAAGATGAGAGGTTCATAACTTTTTGCTTGAACTACGAGTTGGTTTCCTCCTCTGTCTTCTAGTTCTAAGTTGGACTTTGGGGATTTTTTCCCCCCTCTTATTAAATGTGCAGCTCAGGATTAAACCTCTATTGGTAATAGTTTATGGGTTCTCCTGGAGAATTTACTATAACTACCTTGCACATAACGTGGTGATAAATGCTGGAAAAGGTGACCAGCTCATTTAGCCTATAAGCCCAGTACCAGCATCTTCACATGGCCAAAATTTTGCCGGGCATGCCTCACATCTGAACGTGGAGGGATGTAGAACACACAGATGGACTAACAACTTGCCAGTTGTCACACACAGCTGACTCACTGCTTCAGGGCAGTGTCTAAATGGGAAACCCATCATTTCTTTCAAATACGGTTGGAGACGGGAAGCCAAATTTAATCTCTGAATATTCACCATGTGGATCGAGTGATCCTTGTGGTGGGCCTGTCTGTGTGTCAGTGTGGTTTGCCAGGGTGGAACCAGTTCCTCTCCTGGGCTCGTTTCAAGGGCTGGTGTGGTTCAGTTTTATTTCTGCTTTTAAATAGATGAATCCAGAATGACTAAAATGCAGAGATTTGACTCCTA